ATGTTACTGTTGCAGTTATTGTTACACGTGAACAATTTGACAGTTATTGTTAATGAGTTGAATAAAGTCTGATCTACTCGACTGTTTTGTTTCGCTTTATGCGCCTTATAATCCGGGGCGCCTTATGTATGAAAAAAGATCTTAGTGCATTAATAGTTAGTGCGCCTTATGGTCCGAAAAATACGGTAATACACAACTTAACGTTCAATTCAGATCACAACACGTAATAGACTACGGTTACAAATTGACTCAAAACCACATACTCAGCGAGACCACTCTCTAACTACAAAAGTGAATTTGCTCTGCAGCCCATAGTTGTTCAGAATTAAAGCAGAAACTGAGCGGGAACGAAAAATTAATGCCATATCTGACGTGATAATGATCAAGTTTAAACTAAAGTCACCGTACAACACCTAGACTAAGAATTAGTCTTTCCTCAATTTTGCTACCCACAAATCGATATCGATATGTAGCTCTATATAGGATTACCCCTATTAGAAAGTCGGCTTGTTTCAGACAAAGTTTTCCGTCAATTGCATACCTGAGCCATTATAGAATAATCCAGGGAAAAGATTCGAGGAGTTGACAATAGTGTGATATCAAGATAATTAGAAAACTCGGCTGTCCGAACCCTTTCAAGTAAACGGACAACTACTTCAAACTTCCGTTCTCTAAAGAAACGTTTGGGGGTCCGCCTTTGATGAAATAAGGATGGTGCTTTCTACCACTGCTGTATCTAAGTACATAAGTAGGTATGCAAGCCTCGCTGATCTTGAGGCGCAGCAAGGTCTTTTAATTTCTACTTCTGTGGGTGGATCAGTAGATAAGCGTAGAACCAACGTTCAAAAATGACGAATCTGGAGAGCAGATGATGAAAATGTTCAGTTCAGCTTTTGAGAACTTGCCAATGGGACACCCTGAGCATGTTGGATAATGATGGACAAAGTTCTTACATGCTTACTGGACAACTATCACGCCTTTTCAACCCTGTTCTTCTGTCATCCTTTTCGAACTTCATGATTT